AACGTTTCCGAATAATATAGTGTTTCCAATTACTGTTGATTTTGACAATTATTGCAATTTTTGATCGTCGCGACCTCAACCGCTACAAATTTCAACCTATCAAAGATCATCACGACCGCGGGGTAGGGATAAAACGCTGAAACAGAATCGCGGAAACGGAAACTGAAAGCGGAAACTAAAATGGGGAGAAAATGCTGAAATGGGGATAAAACGCTGAAATGGGCAAATTTAATCGAATTCGTTGTTTGCTAGACCATTGCGAACACATGTAATTTGCCTATAAAACTGAATAAATATAAGAAAGAAGTTCCCGGTAAAATGACAACCACAAATTTTCGAAGATCGTCTGCTGCACTATTTTTAAAGTCGTTTGAATTAAATTTGGCTACTTGATACCTCGCGGTAAAGATTGACAAATTATAAACCTGCATTTTTAATAAACTGAATACTGCAGTGAGACAATATAATGCATGTTTATTAATATATGTGCGATTATCGTGTTTTGACTCACCAATCAAAAATCAGGTTTAAGAGCCGTGCCGGGGTAAAAGAGGTTCGTAGTATATGGCAAAAATACATGCATGCTTGGAAATCAATGGAATTTATCACTCGTGTTGAGAAGATATCAGTCTCTCGTTCGCTGCGCTTACTCGTTCGATATCTCAACACTCGAAATAAATTTCATTTATTTTTTTGCGATCCGGTATCCATGCTTTTTGCCAATCAAATTGCTTCGTTTGTGATCCGGTTTTTCACGATACGGACGGCTCAGCCGGACGGCTGCGGATTTTAAACTTAAAGTAAACAAAAAAATTACACTTTCTAGTTCTACTAGTTGAAATTAAGAAGCAAAAATATGTATAGCGATGACGAAAGCCACAGGAAAACAACTAAATTTGGAATGAAGGCGAGTTTTTTAACTCCGAAAACTATGAAGAAAACAACGGTGCTGTGAATAAAAACAAACTGTATAAAGACTACAAAAAACTGAAAACACTACAAAAAACCCAATTACGACCAAAATGTTTGGAACCGGTAATTTGAAACTATAAAAGAAGTAAAAAAAGTTAGACGAAATACCTGCAAGTGAATTAAATTTGTTAAGAACGTAATTTATACTTCTTGAGAAAACGAATGATTTTTAATTCGTACATTTCACGTCTTTGACACGTCGACTATTGTGGTTGTCATTTTACCGGGAACTTTTTTCTTATATTTATTCAGTTTTATAGGCAAATTACATGTGTTCGCAATGGTCTAGCAAACAACGAATTCAATTAAATTTGCCCATTTCAGCGTTTTATCCCCATCAGCGTTTTATCCCCATTTCAGCGTTTTATCCCCATGCATTTCAGCGTTTCATCCTTATTTCAGTTTCCGCTTTCAGTTTCCGTTTCCGCGATTCGGTTTCAGCGTTTTATCCCTACCCCGCGACGGCGCTACTATTTCTGTAAAAGGTTGATTTTTGTTGCAGTGTATAGTTATTCTGTTGAACGCTAGGCGGTTTTCAAGTCATCTTATTCTTAATGTATAATTTCTCACATTTTATTCAATAATTTGTAAAGCCGTTTTAATATTTTGTAGTATATTTAATTTATAGCGTGTTACTATATTTAGAGTGTGATGTTGTTTTTCAAGTGTACAACTGACTCGCATTTTACCAGCAGTGGCAAGCATTTACCCATGCGCACAACAACACAAACTTGTCAAATTTGTTTCACCGGTTGAGAATTTAATGTATTCGTCCGTGAATCTGGACGGCGGCCGTACGAAACGATCGTTCGTTTGCTCGCAGTGGTTTCTCCTCAGCTCAGAAACCACCGCCAGCAGGGTAGATCTCCTTCGGCCGGCATGCAGTTGTTCCGTACGCTTGGTTAAAACTTCGCTTTAAAACCTTCAAGATAAACTATTGTCGGATCAAAATACTATCAAAATGAAGAGTGAGACGAATCCATTGGTATATACGGCCGAAAAAGAGAAAACCAACGATACGAAAGTTATATCAAGGGTCAAACGTACGGCATTTTTAATTAGGAGTAATAATTTTGAGCGATTTGTCAATTGTCAACAATACAATTTTGCTTGATTTTCAAAGGACATAAATCGCTAGAATACTGCTGTTTAGTAATGAATTTGTACTTATGTACAATTTCGTACGCTGATTCGAACGACCGGACCGTATTTTTGTCCTTGTTGGGTCACTCGGGTGCATAAATCCAGAGATAGTCGGTCCTGAGAGCCCATGCAACTCCTCCCCCCAAAAACCGTCTGCTGTGTAGGTAGCGGTGCTAAACTTGGCACGGTCACCGCAATTTTGCAACAGGGGACAGGTTCTGATAGCCCCAGCGAGTAACGCTCTTTCGAGCGTCTTGTTTTCAAAGTTTTCGGATTCCAAATTGCGTGGGAATACGAGGCAGTTAAGTATCATCATCAACGTTCTTACGTTATTTTCGGCGCTGCTGCGCATTATGTTGTAAACAACTGGGTACTTATTGTAGTTCCGTTGACGTTATAAGTTGATATCACCTCTCAGTTTAATTTTTCGCTCTTGAGTTTTTTCAAACAACTTTTTGTCACATGCAAGCAATTCTACCTATAACAAGGCTATCGCCCAAATGATTGGAATGCTCTTTGATTGGTAATCTCAAGCCTTATAATTATAATCTCGCGTTATTGCTCTTTGATTGAGATCCAAAGTTTTAACCACAGCTAACTATAAAAGACTCTCTATAACGTAAAATTATGTCACGATGCTCAAGATATCGCTAGTTTTAAACTTTAATTGCTTTCTTCGTCAACAGAATGACGCAGAATTATTCCTAAATTAAATCAGTTATGATGTGATGCATGCAGTTGCCTCAGTTTACAAAAGCTGCGTGTCTGTCTGCCCTGTCTGAATATCTGTAATTATCACCTTTAAATTATCCAATTTTTTTCTCCAGATTCTGCTTGGATCAAATTAGTGCATGACATTGACAAACGAAAATTTTATGAAAGGTTGTCAAGGCATATTTCTAGGTTCAAAGTTTTTGATTCATGGTTCCGATTATTCCATAGTCAAGACAGCTGGGACCGACAGTACTTGGAAACCCTAGCTTGCTTAGCAGGGTATATAGGAGGTGGTGGAGGAGAAGAAGAGCGAGATTTGGAAGAGTGAGAAAAGGGAGGGAAATGAGGGCATAAAAAGCAGCAGCCCAGTATTAAGCGCTGCTAAACGCGTGAGCGGGTTGAATCCTCCCACCGCTATTTGTGGCTTCATACTGGTGCCCCATATATCGACACTTTTTCCATCGTCGTCGAGTATCGGCTACGATTGGAAATATATCGTTTGCCAAGGAAAAGTAATATTGCCAAGATTTTTTCTGATTAAAATTCGCCCCACCCCATTTTCAAATTGCGTGCGAATAAGTGAGAAGAACAAGTATCGGCATCCGACGTTTATTTCCAGTGCTGCTGCGCAATGTCCATGGCGTGACAAGTTGGTACTTAATAATTGAATGACAAGTTTGATTGCTTGACGTAGAAAGACTTAGAACGCTTTCCGTACTTAGAAATAGTGCATTATCAATATAAATAAAAAAAAGTGTATCATCAGTATATTTTCAATCGTATGCACGTCACAGAAGAGTATTAATTGCATGGTATATATATTCTGCCAAAAATACTTTGGATGAGTGCCCCTCATGACCTTGAAAGTAACATCGGGAGAGCTGATTCTTTTATGAAAATATTTTGAGTTTTTTTTTCATTTCTTCGGAACACTTTATTAGAGCAAGTTCATTATATACAGTTATTCAGGATTCAAATATTTAATCGAAATTAAATATCACATGCAGGTATACAATTTTAAAATTATGATTTAAATTATACACTAGCAGTCATACTGGTGCTGTGGTATTTATAGCGCTAAACTAGGCCACTTGCTTACGCAGGCAGAATATGTTAGTTAAATATACAAGACATTCCCCATTAGGCCTCCATGGGGCTTATTTATTCCAGCCGCGTGTTTCGTTTTTGGGGAAGGGGGGTGCTAGGCGCAAGTGGTGGTGGGGCGGAGGGCATTTAAAATTGGGATAATACTCGGGCAAATTTTGCCTAGTGTTGGGCTATATGTCGGGCAAAGCAGTTGGAGTCATCTGAGATAAAGATAGAAAAGTTCACGAATTTCATGGCAGATTAATTGGTGACCATGACCTTTTGTTAGGAAAGAATAACTCCCCCCTCCCCCCCAAACATTCAGTCAAGATGCTCCACAGGGGGTGGGGGCTAAAGTTGCATTGGGTACGAGGTTGCATTGGACGTTGTAAAACGTGGGCGTGGCTCGAACTTAGGTCTTCGAAATCTTAACTCTCCGATTTAGCTCTCTCTTTTGTAATTCTCCATGATTTATCCTTAAAATAAACTTGACATGCAGCGCAGGCCAATGCTAACTGATGTATAAAATGAAGGTAGTTGAATATTGCTAGACAATAGAAATCTAAAATCTGACAATGCTAAGGAATCAAATGTAAAAATGTTATTCGAATTTTATATGCCTGTATACCAGATATCTACATTATTCTGATGCCGAGTCGAGAATTTGATTGCTAGATGTTTTTTGTTTTAGCAAAATATTGCCGCTTGAACTAATTTGTACCAAGGAGGTCGAACAAGGTCAGCCAACAAAACAGGTTTGTTGAAGGTTACCATTGAACAAACATCTTAATTATGGCGTTGAGAAACCCCAAGATAGGGGTCTCACTCATCAAAAGTTTCGAGGTTTTATTGCGGCGGTTCGCGAATCGAACGACATCAAGTCCAAACTCGATGCTATTTCGAGAAAAGATCTTTGTGCGAGCATTAGTTTTCATAGTTTCCTGCAACAAGGCATCCAACGTCTAAACATGTCTTTTGGTGAGTCTTCTGACAGTAAAAACCCAATCATCTATATCTGAATTACTGAATGACGGAAAGCAACACAACGAAAGCTTGCGCTGGGGCAAGTTCAACCGACAATTAAGAAGTCAGCTCAATAGTCGGTGGCTTTAGAAGACGCACTTGCACTGGCCAATGCCAATGGGAACTGAAGATCGAGTCAAATGAACTATTCGAGTTGGCTAAAAAATGCTTTGGAGAGGCTGCGAAAGAAGCAACACCAGCATTTCATTACGCAGTACGCAATCAGTACGCATCGCAATTCGCAAGCGGAATGCTGGAACATTTGGACCGTCCAGCAGTCGCGGCAACGGACTGTTTACAGTACCACTACCAGCGAGAGTTGCATGATATGACAGCCATGAAAGTAATATTTTCAGTGCACGTTGGAGCAGGAATAAAATTATGATTCAAATTAGGTTTCAAAAGAGACTCACGAGCAGAAATCGTGGAAACCGTAACGATGATCAATTTGATCTTGAAGTTTACAAAGCGAAGAATGTCTGTTTTTGACGTTATATGTAAACAACGAGTTTGAGTGTTTCATCAGGGGATCCAAACACGAGAAAACTGTATGAAACACGAGCGCGAAGCGCGAGTGTTTTATTGTTTTCGAGTGTTTGGTCCCCTGATGAAACACGAGAAACGAGTTGTTTACACAACATCTCAAACGAAAACATTTCATTGGCTTATATATATTATTATAGTATATTGTTGTGTTTTGACTTGAATTTGTAATTAGGATCTCAGTTATTAGATGAAAACCGTTTTTCATCTAACAACAGTGATGGTATATGATTTTTAGCGTGTTTCCTTGCGGTATCCAACCTCAATCATGTGACGAATTAGGGTGAGTTCATTCGCTAATTTGCTCATGAATTATTAATGAGTTTGAGATTGGCCAATTATAGAATGTGGTAAGCGAGTACGTTGTCCATCCAATTCATTACGATAAAGAGAGTGCACCAAATATGAAAAAAGACCTGTTTGGAACAATATTATACATGGTTCTTAAAAACTCAACAAAACGACAGGTAAGGTGCAGCCGTACTGGCTTTCTCCTTTATAAGATAACACTAAACATCCTGGCAGCTCAGTGGTGAATTGATTGGTATAGCTATCGATGATAACGACACAGTGGACATTCTGTCGCTGTAGTGTCGCTTGACGCGGCAAGAATGGATACACATTAATTGTCAGTCTACAGTCCAGATGGGAAAATATGCATCAATGTTGTTTGGAATTTCTTCAAGGGCTGTCAGTCTTTCAACGCATTACTGTCACCAATAACAAAAACATTGTCGATCATTTGTTTCAAATACTATCATTCAAATAGCTGAATAAATATCACGGTATATATATGTAACAGCAAAGGACTAATTATCGAATTATCTCATCCGATTGATCCTGGCAATTATACAATAAAGTCAGTACATGTTTCTTGTGATAATGAAATAATACTCACAAGACGGCAGTGGAATGAGTGGACTGATTTAGTGAAAGATACAAATGTGCTTTACAGTCTATACTCCGCAGACGGACAGTTAAAAACGACGGTAAAATTTCGTCCAAGTGAAGGTATGTATGCCTTATGGCAGGTTATTTTACAACCACGACACCAAGAGCATCATCGGTCACGTTATGGACTTGGATGATAGCAAGATATTATTGATAGAATATTTGTCTGGTCAAACTGTCAAACTTCAACTTTCATATGTAGGCCTACTGTATAATACAAACTTTCCAGAAGGTTTATTTTTTTTGTTCTTGCCCACGATCAAATGGTGCACTTGCTTTGGTTAGTAAGAAGCATGCATGTGATTTTGCTTTTCCTTCTCCTTGAACTTTAACAGAACGTTTGCCGTTTTTACCGTATACGTAAATCTAGAAAATGGAAATTCATGTTGATTTACTGCGTATTCTCACTTAAATACTGCGTTTCAGACGAAACCCCCTGACTCTTCTTGATTTTCCCCCTATCCCTCCCTCGAATAATCCCTCCGCCTCAAACTTGTCTTCAGTAGAGAAGCCCCCTGGGAGCTTGATACAGGGTTTATCGTATATTTCAAACACTCATTAATAATTCATAAGCTTATTGGCAACTCATGTCAACCATAATATGTCACGTGAACAGGTTTTACACATAGAGATTATAAATAACACTAGAGGAGGCATCGAGTTTAAGAATTGGGAACGCAGCTAATGGAAGGCAAATTCAAGTCCCGGATATAAAATCGTGCTCTCATTGGCTGATTTGAAACTCTTCACCAATAGGAACACGAATACACATCCGGGACTTGAATTTGCCCCCCAATAGTCGCGTTCCGGTTTTTTTACTGAATTAAGATTACAATGCCTCCTCTAGTGTTATTTATAATCTCTATGGTTTTACACCTTGGAAAGCAGTTCACAACTGATATAACAAATTTTTACAAAATTATGATAAAAAATGCAAATGAAATCAAGAGAACACATTCAATATTTTAATATTTAAAAATGTTCTTGCTGCAACTAGAGGCAATTCATTCACATGACGATATTCAGGTTTAGAAATTTGTTCAAAGAGACGCAAGTTCTTGGACTGAAATATTCGAACAAAAATATCATGACAAAAGAAAGTTAATAATTTTACAAAGCTAAAAATGGCTTTTATCATTCATACGATCCAAATAAACTAGAAATATGCCGTACAAAAATCTATCAGTAATACTTAATTTTCAAAGAAACTTATCCGATCTTTATAGTTAAAACGGTAATTCACCTGTTTTTGTTCTTTAGGCTATATCTTTATGCAACCGAGCCAGATTCTCCGCGAATTGTGTTCGCACGTCGACTCCTTGTAAGCTCGTTTTCTTTTCCATTATTGCACAGAACTTCACGAAATTTCATCTATATGTAGTTTAAAGTTCCCTGGATGTTTGCCTGCAGATAAAAGTTTAGAGAGTTCATTTAAATTAAGTTTCGCGTTATACGTCAAACGGCAAACGCCAGGCAAAGAAAAATTTACGATATTAGGCAATAAAGAGTAAAAGAACTTGTTGTTTTAAAACTGCATGAAACTACATAATTATTATTTCGTTCAACGACAATTTTGCCGAGAAAGTTCGGTCGAACCTGCCGTTTGCCGTTCCCGGAAACGTGAAGCTTAAATTCCTCATTAATGTGAAAGTTGTTAAAATCCGTCAATGTATCTTCAAAACAAAATATTTCGCTCTTACAGCCGGCATTTCGTTCGAAAGCAATCTACAGTCTCCTACCGTCATGCTTAGCGGGCATCGCTACTACGCACCGGTCAATTGAATATAAACAAACGTTAGCCAAATTTGTCTACTGACTTAGAAATCGCGCACAGAATTAGTAAAGACGACGATAAAGGATTCTTTATTTCTAAACCAGACATAGCCCTACAGTGTGGTGCCCTAGACGCCTAGAGCATGCGCAAAACAAGTGAACCAACACAAGCGGGAAGACATCATACTTTTGAATAGATCGAAGGCTAATATAACTGGAACGCTACCTCCAACGGACAGGCCAGTCCCAGACTTTCACGCATGCGAACTGAAAGCATGGTCAACATGAATAATTGAATATGTATTCTTGAAAATTGGCTTAACTGGTCTCGCGAGAGATTGAAGAATCGCGAGGCATCAAGAAACGAGTCTTGACCCCCGACACGCGTGTCTGTTCCAGTTATATTAATTTCACTGTAAACACACAGACTAACAATTAGCAAACTAATCAGTCGAGTGAGATTCCCCAAATCCTGATATTTATACCCATACATTGGCAATTTGGCATCACCTTAGTGTTACAGTACATGAAGTTGCGGTTAGAGATCGACAACTGGACTATACCTACAACTGTCATTATGACTAATTTAAATGTTATTGTTTTGACTTATGACCCCGCTTTGCTATTTTGCATTTAATTACCATAACCGTGGTTGCCATTGGCTGCTAAGCACAGTGTGTCTTTAAAAGTATCAAATCGTTACAATGATCTGGCAAAGTTTTGTCGATGAAACGATCTTAGGGACGAGTCAAGTAGCGAAAGCTGCAATCCACGGCCTTGATGGTACAAGATATGCTGCAAGCACTGGCTTTGTGGTACGCTATTACTTTATTATAGAGCTGTTATTCTGTTGATTTAACGTATACTATAGTACACATTACACAGAGAGATCTGTAAACATATATCGTCCGGTTGAGATTTCTCAAAATACACAGGACCACATTACCCTGCTAGCAGAGTATATCCCTCCGCCGTCGAAAGGATACTCTGCTAGCAGGGTATATCTACATAGATTTCACGAAATATACGATTGTAGCCAAGAAAACTTTACTTATTTAATTAATAATTATTTCCCAGATTAATATCTGACAATTTTAGTTTGTATCACAATGACAAGATTTTGGAATTTTGTCATCTCACATTCTCACTCGATAGAACTAATTGTTGAAGTCAGTTGGTTTAATAGAGCGCTGAACCGGAATCACAGGGCCGATTCGTTCAAGTTCGATTCCCGCCAGAGGGCCTATAGTTGATTTTTTCGCATTACCAACTGCTCCAGTGAGTCCACTCGAAATTTCCATCTACAAAACGAGCTATTTCGATTGGGGTTGTCATGGCCAATTGTAAACAAATATTTTAATTTTTTAGCTGTTTATATAGTCTATATAGGTAGCCTATTTAGCTCGGATTGTACATTTCACTATTAGGCCAATAAAAAAAAACTTGGTCAGCGTCACCGCCCGCCTCTCGATTTCGGCCGCCTCTGAATTTTTTTATGTAAATCTCTTCGTTTTACAGCTTAAAACAGTTTAATATTTGAAATTTTCTGATGCTCAGACCTTCGCGCTATATACTAATCGATAGGAGCGCGTGGGCTTGGGTATACAAAGTTCTTATAGCAAAATGGCGGCCTTCGCAACATCAGTACAAAAAATATCACCGATTTGTTGGAAAACCTTTACAAATGATTCACTACTAATTGCCCTCCTTTCTTTCCCTCCATAAATACTTGGGAATATATCTTCAATTGGCTCTCTCGCCTTCTATTCCTTTTCATTTCAAAATTGGAGACTAACTATACACTGCCATATTTTTTTTGAGCTGTTTGGCAGCGCGTATTTGCAACATCGTATTCAATTTTGCTCACCTACACCCTCAACTTACTTGCTCAATAAATCTGCTGACATAAATCATAAATCTGCTGACAATTTCATTTTCATTCCTTGCCCGTGTTTTTAATTCCATATGATCATCAAACAGCTCTACTTGACGTTTATTAATTTGCTAGAGTTGGCAGTTGAGTTATACTTCCTATTTACATGTTTACAAAAGACAAGCATGCATGTACTTATTCATGCTCGCAGTAAAACTAACAAAGTAGTTTGAAGTAAAATACTTACTTCCGGCCTTGCTTGGAAATGGCCTGAACAGGTTTAAATGTATTCGCAACTTTATAAAAATCTTTTCTAAAATCTTGAATTTAGTAAGGGTTGGGTAAAGAAATTGAACCCCGAAAATGGTTGGGTAAATAAAAAAAAATAGCATGCCTTGCTCGGTACACCATAGCCTGCGTAGCTGCAACCTCGTTCCCAGGCTCTTTGCTCTTGGGAACGAGGTTGGCGTAGCTGGCGGTTTTAAGGGTTGGGGTTGAGGCGCGGGCAACGAAAATTAGGGAGGCGAGGCGCGGGAAGGGAAAAATGCAGGGGAGAAAAACCACCTGCCGCAAAACCAGGTGTAAATGAATTATCCCGTTCATCAGTGAACGGAAAAAACTGATTGGCTAGTATTTTTTTATGTAGTTGTCAATCAACGGTTAAATCGGTTAAATGTTAATCGTTAAGGGGCCATTCACAAAGGATGTCCGAGCCGAGGGGGGGGGAGGGGGGTTTGGAAAATCAGGACAAACTCGGACATAGGGGGGGAGGGGGTGTTTTTAGCAATCCGGATGTCCGAAATTTAAAAAAAATCAAAAACAAATTTCTTTTTCCCTCTATTTTGAGCAGTCCTTCCCATTGTGAAATTGGCATTTTGACTATGCGGTTAACACTAGATTTTGTTTTAATTAGTAATTTATATGTTTTTGTGTTCACATTTACAGTTATAAAAAAGTTCTAAAAGTAAAAGTTTTTTACTCTTGATATATACAAGATTGCATGAGTTTTTGCGAGGCACGGCGGATGTCCGGGGGGAGGGGGTCACTAATTCGGACAATGCCGGACAAGGGGGGGAGGGGGGGTCTGAAAATCCATCATTTGGCCGAACATTCCTTGTGAATAGCCCCTAACCAAATGTTTTGACGTTTTGAAAATTGAAATTAGTTCATAAGTATGCTCACAAGTCAGACCAGAAATGGAATACCATATTAAATAAATAAAAGAAGCAAATTTAAAGATACAAGCTCAAAAATAACATTCTAAATAGTGTTTTTCAAGCGATCCAAACAAGAATATTTATAAACGAAAAGGATACGTCCGAAGAGGCCGAAGTTTATATGATCGGCGAAAGGTATGGCAAGCCTATATTTTCGTTCCTACAATTGCATGCGTATAATTTGATAATATACGATCTCACTTGACTTTCAAAGGACATGAATCGCGATAATGTAATTGATATTTTACTAAAACTATCGATAGATAATTAAGAGATATTTCTTCACTGAATCGAACGCGGTGGGATTTTCATCTACTGATCTACATAGGCAGACATAGACATAGCATGTGATGTCTAGTATGTTCTGAACCAAAGATACTATTAAATTTATATAGTAAACTAATAGATACGAACCTCCAATTCAAAGTAACTAGGGGCCGGTTGACAGTAAATAACACATTTATATATCTCGTTGAATATGTATATCAAAACTTTTAGTTTGGTTGTTGAATAAATCTATAGTATAGACTTGCATGCTTTGTATTTTGAGCGGCTTATAAACCACCGTTTAAGCTAAACGGACTTGCATGGTTTAATGGCTGCACATAAAATAAATTCCTTGATTCTATCACTGTCTACACTTTGAAAATGTCGAAGACGGCGGGAGAAAGGCGGAAGATTTATTTATTATATTTTATATTTATCAAATTTATATATCAATAAATAAATAAATATAAATTCCGAACATTTAATATTTCTGTGATTTCCGAAGTGAAGTGTCATATTACACACAACGTGGCAACGTATCTCACGAACAATGACAGAATGGCAGAGGTTCCTTTAAAATACAATGAAATTTCTTTCAATATTCTGTTTGTTTGAAATTGGTAGTTTAAAATGGCACTAAAAACCCAATATAAAATATAAAAAACTTAACTGTCTTGAATTATTTTGTCGGCCGGTACATTTATATACATATACAGGGTGTATCAAAATAAGCGCAATTCATCTTTTGTGCTTAATAACTTTCGAAATACTATTTCTACTTAAACGCTTTTAGGCTTACTTCAAAGCCTGTTCTTTTCTCTTTCAAACAAACTATTATCCTTGTCTCCAATGCTAGTAATAATTGCACAGGAAAAGATTTAGTAAAACCTATCGTTTTTAGTTGCTGTTTAATTATGCAAGTTTACTATGTTATTGTTTAGTCGGTTTAAATGTTAGAGTTTTCTTCTTTAAACTTTAATGTTGTCGTCACTACATCTGGAAAACCACGTAAGAACAAATTAAAATTATTTTAAAAGAGACTGTAAGGATATCACGTGACTCATGCATGCGAGCACATGGGACGTCGAAGGAACGTTGAACAAGGACTGAGTATAGTTGAGTTATCAAGTAAAGTTAAATGTAGTTTATACGGCATAAGATAAATAAAATATATAACATTACATGGTGTCAGAAAAGGGATTTTAATCAAAGATATAAGAACACGAAATGGCAGAACAAATCCCAGCCCCAAAACCGTTGAAACTCGATGGAAATGCAGCTGAAAATTGGCGGCGTTGGAAGAAAGCCTTCGAGCTATACATGACCGCTACTGAGAAAGACAAAAAGTCGCAGAAAATACAGTGTGCAACGTTTTTGACCTTGGCTGGCGAAGCAGCGATTACAGTTTACGAAACACTCACGTTTGAAGATACAGAAAAAGATAAAATCGAGCCGTTAGTAGCGAAATTTGAGGCGTATTTTCTTCCAAAAAAAAATGTCACGCACGAAAGGCATGTGTTTAACTTGAGGAAACAAAAGCCTGACGAATCGGTAGAGCAGTTTGTGATGGAACTGAAACGATTAGCAAAGAACTGTGAGTATGGAGAACTTACAAACTCGATCGTTAAAGACAGGATTGTCGAAGGAATCAGCAATGACAGAACTCGAGCACGGCTTCTTCGAGAAAAAGATTTATCGCTAGAAAGGTGTATGGACGTGTGCAAAGCAGCAGAAGTTGCCGACAAGCATATGAAAACCTTAACAGATAAGTCACGTAAATCGGAAGAAATTGATGCAGTTTATAGTCGAGGAAGGAATTATCGAAGAGAAACGCATTCAGGATTAACGGGCAACGGCGGTAAAAAAAAATTTATAACAACAGATTAAATTGCAGCAGATGTGGTCAGGGAAACCATAGTTATGATAAATGCCCAGCTGTGGGAAAAGAATGTAGAAATTGTCACAAGAAAAATCATTTTATGAGTCAATGTAGAACCCGAGACAAAGAATTGCCAAAATATCCAAGAAAACATCGAGTCGATGCGGTAGAGAACAACGGTAAACAAGAGAGGGACGCTGAACCAAGTAGTGAGTCTAGTGACGAACATGAATTCTATGTTTATTCGACGGAAACGACCGCTGACAAGTCAGATCCATGGATACTTCCATTGGAAGTAAACAACAGTATAGTTACTTTTAAAGTAGACACTGGCTCGGATGTCAATGTAATGAGTTATAACGAGTTTAAGACACTTCAGAACAGACCGAAGTTGAAACAATCGAAGACTAAACTGAAAGCATACAACGGGGGAGATGTTCAAGTGCAAGGTCAGTGTATTTTATCCTTAAAGTTGAAAGAGAAATCTGTGAAAGCGCTGTTTTTAATCAGCCCTGATGATGTTAAACCTATTTTGGGAAGGGAACTTTCTGAAAAGTTAAATCTTGTGAAAAGAACATTTTCTATTGAGCAGTCGAACAGTTCGAATAATTTAACGGGCAGCAGGTATAACAATGCAAAACTAAGTGAGAAATATTCTGACTGTTTCGAAGGACTAGGCTGTTTACCTCATACTGTAAAAATCGAGTTAAGAGATGATGCAACACCAGTTGTTGAGCCTTGTCGCAAAATACCCTTCGCGCAGTATGATAAGCTCAAAGACGAACTACAACGAATGGAAGCTATGGGCGTGATTGAAAAGATCGAAGAACCGACTGAGTGGGTTAACTCATTTGTGCCAGTTACTAAGCCAAATGGAAACTTACGTGTTTGCTTAGACCCAAGAAACTTGAACAAATCAACAAAACGTGAACATTTCAAGTTACCTACACGAGACGAAGTTACAGCTCAATTTGCAAATGCCAAGGTATTTACTAAACTAGATGCCTCAAATGG